AGTCCGTGCTCTCGTATTCAGAATTTGTCACCGATTGGCCCCGGAGGGATTTGTTTCTCCGACCAGATATCAGCACTTGCTTCCAAAACAACACGTAGTTGCTGCACAGCTGTAGTAACTGTAGCATCTCTTAAATATCGCCTTGAAGGAGCAAGGGGATGCTGGAAGCAACGACCAGCAGAGCTCCTCTCGGTGTCACCTCTGCCATCTACCGGCGCTTTACATCCCGTATCCCCTCCTGCAGGTCGTCAAATCCTGCCTCCAACTGTATAATCGACTCACGTCGAGAGGATTTTGAAGGTGCAAACTTCCAAGCAGGTCGTTACCGAGCTGGTCGTCAGCTCATTACTGGTGCAATCAAGTCGGGGCAGCTGAGATAAATTGGCTGCTTCCAGCAGGCTCAGCCGGGCTCTCGGGGCTGAAGGTGGGCTCAGAGGTGGACCTGGAGGAACGCGAAAACGTTTGGTGAGTCGGGTGGAGAAGGCGGCGACTCAATAACAGGAAGAAAACAGCCACGATGTAAACAACACGCAGTAACGTAAGTGCTTTTTATTACGCGTTGCGTCGCTTTGAAGGCAATATAACAGAAAATGGAAACTTTTTGCAAGCAGCAAATGTTTACATACGTTAATGGACAGGGATCTTACCCTACGCGCGCTTAACACCCGGCTTCAACTTAGCAAAGCCCTATGAGGGCAAACACAGCTCAGCTGTTACGCGAGGCAGGGAGAGGGATTTGAAGTTTCTTCTGCCATGTGGTGAAAAGGCACCTGTAGTTTGAGGTGGCAAAAAAATTTGCCTTGCTTGATCAAAGCAGTTAAATCGCTTTCAGGAATTGTTTCCTCCCACTGAAGCTGGCTGTGCGGCCTGTGGAGCCCTCAGGTCACAGAGTGTAAGACTTGGAGAGAGATGCCCTGGCAAACCAGGACAAAAAATGTAGCTGTGCTTCTTGAATTATGTCTGTCTCTCTTTTGTTGGTTTATTTTTTTCCCCTCCAACTCCCAAGAGAAAACAAAATTTAAAGACCAAAATGTTTTCGGTTCTGAACTAAGATAACATTCTTCAACTCGTAGACTCACATCAACTCTGAAACCCGTGTCGTTTTTATTGTGTGTGCAAACATACACGGTGGGAAAAGAATGTGGTTTGTGTTCCCAACGTGGAGGCCCCCAGCCCGCTTCCTCAGCGGGTCCCGGCACCGCCATGGAGGAGGAAAATGCGCGCAGCGAGGGCGGAGGCTCCCCAATGGTCCCACGAGCTCGTTCAGTTCGTCTGATGCACCTCGGCAGCTCCTGCTGCTGCCGTTCCAACTCTTAGTGGAATAGAGAATGAAAAAAATTGTTGGAGAGTGTTTTGTAAACGCTTAAAAATGAAATAATGGAAAAATCCAGCAGGAGTCGAGCGAGAGTCTGTAAAATCCAGAGCATCAAGCGGGGTTGCTGTCGCTTCTCATGGCCATGAACAGGATTTCCTTATGGAAGTTCGCTTGTGCGTTGACAAGGTGAAACAGATTAAAAAAGCTGCTGTCCTCTTCGTCATGATCCCCTGCCAGGACAAAGAAAACGATTTTAAAATGACTAGTGAAACTAAATGACTTCTTTGCAGATAAATCTTACTCATTCAGTGTTTTCAGCAGAGGCTGAATCAGCAGCCTCCCCTTAGATGGATGAGGCAGCAGCGACCGCACCTGATGGTGGGATGGCTGCGAAATAACACCAGAGCCTCTCCAAAATTCCTTCACCAGCTCATCCAAACACAGACAAGAACAATTTTGCGTTAAGGCAAAAATCTGTGCTCGCCGAGCCGGCTGCTCATCTCCACAGCTTTGCCGTCGTAATCAGCCTGGAGGTTTATCGAGGCTGACAAGCTGCGGACAGGGAGCAACTGCGGCTCGTTGAGCTGAACAGGCTGGCGAGCGGCTGCTTGGAACCCATCCTCCCCAAGGACCTCGGGCCCGACTCTCCGCTGGGATGTGTTTTACGAGATGGTTGGTTTTGCCACCCATGGCACCAGGAATCTCTTAGGGGAGACTGGTTAAAAATAAATATCTCTCCCAGTTACAACCTTTGATTCCTGAGTCTGTGTTATCAAAAAATGACACGAGGCACCTGAGGAGGGAGGGGAGGAGGCCCGGCTGCGATGCTCCCAAGGAAAGAGCTCGTTGGAGCCACGGACTTACCGGACAGGACGTTCTGCATCATGTCCATGATCGTGTGAGCGAAGGCATTCTCCACGCACTGCAGGAAGTTGTTTCTCTCTGCCAGGGTGTTGAAAACTTTGCAGACCTTCTGCATCATTTTTACCGCCCAGTCCATGCAGTACAGGTCCTTCTCGCAGACCTGATGTGCACAGGAAATATTAGAAATGCATCTTTTTATTTTTAGAAACGATGCTAGGAAAGGCAAGCTTCAGTTTTAGAATTAACTACGGATTCTAGAGAATGATGGGGTCGGTTGCAGCCGTGGCCTGGAAGATCAGGGTTTGTTATGAGGACGCAAATGTTGTTCTTGTTGCTGGTGCTTCTCTTGTTCTTGGTGCTTCTCCTCAAGGGCAGAGGATAAAAAGACAAAAGACCCCAGTGTGCCCTGTCCAGTAGTACTCACCAAAGTCAGGAAGACCACGAGCCTGGCTAACTCGACGGCTCTCCCGTTCACAGCTTTACTGGCCATGAAAGTGAAGCAAATGTTGTTTCCGCTGAGAATAAGAAGCCGAGCGTTGTTCTCCATGAGCCACTCCCTAGGAACAACTTTGTGATGAAATAGAGAGATTTTTAGTGATCTTTGAATAAAAAAAAAAAAAAAAAAAAAAAAAAAAGGAGCACCACAATAACTACTCTGGGATTTATGAGTTGTTGGCTTTGAGAGTGAACCAGGATTTGCGAAGGGACACCCTCTAGAATACAGTTTGCAGCGGTGAAGTCGTGTAAGCGATTCCTACAGTTGGAGCTCTTCACAACACAGCTCCTGGGACACAATCTCACCCAAAACTAACTTTTAGCGTAGCTGGTAACACCATTCAGTCACATTTTGGCTTAAATGTTACGTGTTCAGCTTACGCAGCCTGGACAACGTTTCCTTACTAATGGCTAGACAAGACTTGAATTTCCAAGGTCTGCGTGGATTCTTAAAATATTTCACGACAGGGAGAGCCAGCCCGAAGCTGTAAGCGGTGCCGGGTTTCTCTCACCCCCAGCTGCCGCCTGGCTTCCAGCGTAACGACTTTTCCTGCTCCACTGCGGCTACTGTGAGGAGTATTACCCTCGGCTTCCCCAGGCAGCTCGGTGTCTGAAGCACACTCGGTGCCAGGTTTGGAGGGCACGAGCCTCTAATCCTGCGGATTAATGAGAAAGGCAAAAACACACCTGACAGCTCGTCCACGAGACTGATAACATCGTCTGCTGTCCATTCTCTAGCTTCTGTATCGAACAGCAGTTTAACCGCGTCTGCCAGACCTTTCAGACTGCTCTCATCTGTTGGTCCTTCTATCATTTTCTGCCAGACCACGTGTCCTGAGCAATACATTAATCACAACTTCTATTCAGTGACAAAGTAAACTTTTTAAAAATGTTTTTAAAGTTGCTAAACTGGGCCTCACGGCAGAGTCAGAGGAGGGGAACCTGGGGAGCACAGCTCAGGCTTTGTGACAGGGAGGCCTTTTTTCCATCTGTCATTTTAGTAGGGACTGTGGTAGTTGCAGCATGAATCAAAGTGCCATTTAAAGAAACCCACGTCTAATAATTAAGTGAGAAAGTGTTGCTTTTCTGCAGGAAAACAGATGCTTCTTTGAGGTGCATTCAAGCTAATTCTACCCTAAACAGAGGAGAATAGAGGAACTGAGATGCAATTGCTTCACTTGAATTGTATTTTTTTATATATATTTCTACACATAGGTATATCATTTACTTAATTTATGTATGTTGGTGAGGTCTGGCTTAGCAGAACGATTTTTTTTTTCTAGGCAACGCAATTACATTTTATTTGCATAAAGCTTGGTTTTCAGAAATGCTGCATCTCACAAGGAAATCTCACTCCCAGGAGACAAACTTTGAAAATTAACCGCCTGGACTACTTGCCATCAAGAGGGGACACTGGCCCAAAGATGATGTACAGCAGGCGAGCTTGATTGACGATGGGCCACGGCTTTAGAATGCGACTCAACCAAAAGGCAGAATCGCTTCGATGAATCCAGTGGTTCAGCAAGACCTCACGACAGTACAACCTGATCCGCAGCTCGAGCTTTCGGGCGCTTCCTGGGGTAAAAGAATGTGGATTATTAGAAATGCGCTCAGCCTCACGCAGTACAGACAATAACTTATTTTTTAGAGGAAGAAGGATTTTCTCAAAGCTGCCCAAGAACATCTAGACGGATTTAATAAAATTCTCAGCCGTTAGTTCCCAGCTCATTCAGGCCATGGAAGCTACAGATGTACCCTCTGATACTTTCTGCATCACTCGTGCGTGTCTTTAGGGGCTCTCTGCTGATTTTTGGGTTCTGGGTTTTGGCATCGGTAAGTGGAAATCGGGGGAAGTGTGCGCATGGCTGTGAATAAAGTGTTCCACAGAAATCCCCTGCTCTGTGCTGGGGTAACACGAGAACTTCTTGAGAGGCATGTGCCACGTCAGGGCTGCGTTTCAGAAATATTAACCCTGAGTTTTTACTGCATCGCTTTATTTCTCTGTCGGTTCCTTTCCCCTTGATTTCACTGGGGTACAGCAGGAAAGATTGAAGACCCCGTTGCTGTTTACATATATAGAGAACTCACATGTTGGCTTCATAATGGAATAATTAAAAAAAAACCCACCCTAAAGGCCTCTCAAGATATCTCTCTCCATTACAGGATATGTGCTGGAGACAAAAGTGTTGATCTTTGCTTCGGGTGAAGGGGAAAAAAAGGTATATTCATCCACACTAAGGCCAAGTATTTGCTTCAGAATGCTCGCTTTCTGCGTCATGTTGGAGCTAACCCAGAGTCGGGAAAGAATTGCTGCTGTGAGGCTTAGCTGGGTGAAAACACGTTCGATTCTAAACCCATTTATTTGCAGTAATTGGGATTCTCCATGATAACATGTTTTGATTTTTGTAGGTCTTTTGTCTGCTTTGAGGATTACCCGGTTTGCTGCTGACAACTGTCTGCACTTTACGGGGTAAATTGCTCAGCTCGCAGAGGAAGTTAAAAACCCGGTGGCACTCGAGTTCGTCCCAGCCTGCTGTTAGGATCTGAAGGTTACAGAAGAAAGAGGGTACAAATGAATAGACAGAGCCATTGAGTTATCGCGACGCCATTTCTCAGGTTGGAGAAATACGCTCTGTCTGTCTCTGCTCTCGATTTGTGAATTGGAAGCCGTGTCGTAAAATGCTCCCCTCCTCCCATGTCTTCTTAGATAATAAATGGCTAATCAAAATCCAGACTGGCTGGCAGTGAAATCCAGACCAAGGAATTCTCAAGAGTCAAATCAGCAACTTGGTAACAACCAGAAAGGAAATTCGGAGAGCTGTGTGAATAAATGCCTTCCCCCCTACCATCTAAGGCCCCAAACCATCTTATGCTTCTAAATATCTTGCAAAAACACAGTTTAATTTAGGAAACAATTTTCTTTTGTGATACTTGCCTTCTTTCCATAAAGGTACTGTACCTGTAAGAACACACCGTAGCATTGTAAGCCTAAACAATGCAAAGGACTTGGACAACCATTAAGTTTAAAACAGGGAACCTGCAAGTACAAAACATCAGTAATTTATCTTCACGCGACTGAAAATTCTGTTTGTTACTTGTGCACACCAATACTGCTCAGAGGGGTTTGGAAGGATTCCCTTCCCTGTCACGTAAGAAAACAAGTTGTAGGGCTACGCTATGGCTTAGCATCGGGTTCAAAACTGTGGTCAAATGGGTGTGCAAAGGGTCTCGAAGAAGAGTGGAATTAAGAGTAAAGTTCTTCCCTTCCACAGAAAAATTTCTAGTGGTCCACAAGCTGAGGAAAAGTTGAAAACTGCTCATCTTGGAATAGGAAATCTCAGCGGAACAGCTTTGTGGTCAACGCGCTGGCTTCAACTTTTCCGTTGTTATCGAAAAGGGACCGATTTCGAATCAACGAATCATGGCACAGTAAGTCATGAATCTCCAGCAAAGGGACAACAAAAGGTGTGATTCAACCAGCAGTCGCTTCACAGCAGCGGGAGTGGAAGTGCGAGCGACCAGTCGAAACACTAGCGGGAGGACCGTGAACTTACTTCGGAGAGAATCTTGTGGATGTACTTCAGCCTGTCCTTCGTGGGCAGTAGGAGTGTGCATCTTTTAAGCAACAGTCCTGCGAACGAAAGGAAGACGTGCCCGGCCGTGAGGAGACCCGTGTGGCACGTGCGGTCGCGGGTGAGCTTAAGTGTTCACGCACACAGCCCGCTGGCCAAAGCTGCTGCTCTGAGGAGAAAATAGCAGCGCAAAAAGGTCACCGGTGCTTTGGAGAAGGGGGAAATCTTTGGCTAAAGAAGTGTTTTCAGGGAGTGTGTAGGCTTCCAACTCGACAACTTGTTTATCATGTTGTAAAGTCCCTATTAATCACAGCTGGAGCCCTGTTAAAATTACTGTTGGAAACTGGAAATAACTATTGGAGATAAATGTTACTTGTTGCACCTCTTAGCAGTACCCTGGGGAACGCTGATTTTCCCCTTACATCATGGAAAAACGAGCTTCCAAAATTTTTTCAGGGTAGCCACGTGCTCTGAAAAGAAAATACTTCAAGCTGTGTCGATGTAAAGCATAGCTAAGAGGTAAAATTATTTTCCTATGCGGGACTGAAATGGTATGTGCTTAGGATGTCAAAGTCTGGAGTTCATTAGAATGTGGAACAGCCGTCTGTTAAGCAGCATTTTTTTCTACACTAGTGGTAGAAAATGGGTTAATAGTTTGCTCTTCAAAAACTTTTACCAGAAGAAAAAACATATATCTTTTTTATTAATCAAGAAATCCACAGAAAAGCATGTCCTTTTCGGGGGGAGGGAAAGGAACCTTTGTTTCCTGAATTGTCAGGGTCCCAAAAAACACAAACTCCTTCAGTATCAAAAACTACAGTTCTAAGCTGACTCTTTCCTTACTTAGCAGCGTGTTAGCGTTCCGACGTGACGGACAGAATTTATTGATCTGGAGAGGACACGGGCCAAAGCTTGGTCAAGTCAATTTTCTATTGACCAGCTCAGACTTTGGAGAGAATTCTCCAGAGTAGAGCTGAGGCTGCTCAGCCTACAAAGCCCAAATTAACTTTAACGTGGTTTTGACTGGTTTTTTGGGGTTTTTTTAAGAATTGTAGGGTTTGGGGCGTCATTTTAAAAATAAACCATTGCTTTTGGTCACTTCAGGTCTCGGCTGGGCTGAAGCACTGCAGCTACATTTCCCAATGGGAGGAACGTGAGCTGCCCCAAAGTGCCAGCCGAGGGCAGCCCCAGCAGCCGCGTTCCTCCAGTCGAAGCGGGGCCCAGACCTCCAGGTTTCTGCCGCAGTTTCCACCGGGACTCTCCAAACAAGGTAAATTTGGAACATCTACTCCTAAGGAGAGCTCATGCTCTGCCCATCCCCTGCTTGCTGTTTGACAGGAAAAAATAAACACAGAGGAGGGAGAATGTACGTTATTTTTGTCCCTTACGAAGAGGTTTTGGAATCCCTTCAGGTGATTCCTCACCCCTTTCCCTCTGCCAGTGAATGGTGTTGGAGTGGGCTGTTTGGCACCGGGAAGAACTTCACTTTCAGAAGGAGCTGCACAAACGATTCGGGCCATATCCTCAGCGTTTCGCTGATCGATGCGTGTGACAGAAGAAACCCTTTAAGTGAGTTTGGTTCCCCTCTAATTGTTAGCATTTGCATTAAAGGATCACCTAGAGATTTGTAGTGCTCGAAAATGTGGAGTCCTTCTCTCTTGCCAGGTAGCTCGAGGTTATGAAAGTCTTGCAGTAAGAACCGTCGGTTTCCTGACGGGGTCGAGATGTAATTTGTAAGGCGGTTGCTGATGCTTTTCGACACCATGCTCAGCATGCTGATATCCTTCACTGAAAAGGCAAAACCCAGTGTACTTGTAAATCTTTACTGCCGGAAGAATGCCGCTCGCTACCCAGTGACTGTATCTTACTTAAAAAATAGGCTGAGAAACAAGATTTTCAAATAAAGCAAAATTTAATTACTGTTTTATCTCCTTTGCCAACAAACCGGAGTAATTAGAAGTAGATGGATCTAAGGAATACTTTCCACGCATGCCAGGCAAAACTCACTTCAAATAGTTTGTAATTATCATTTAAATTTTGGTCATTCGGTTCTTTCTGTATAAAAGCTGGAATTTCAGAGAATAAGTCACACAAAATTACTTCAGCTAGCTAAAAGCTAAAACATTTTAACTGATAATGACGTTTTCTAAATGGGAACCTGCGGTACTTTTCAGACTCCGGAAGTAATACCACCTTTCTTATCAGATTCTCACCTGAAAGATAATTCAATACCATCTGAAAGATCTCTAATGGAAGTGCTTGAAAATACCCGAGTGCTGACACAACTTGGGAATCTGTGTCCAAGCTGTTGCAGCACTGTCTGGAGCGCCGGTTACTGCGTCTGTACTTCTGGTTTGGGATCAAGGTGTAGCTGGTCTCTGCAGCAGATGTCATTGTTCTCTTAGTCCCATAAATTTAACCTGGAAAGAAAATAGGAAAAGTCTAATTTCAGGGGAGAAAAATAGCTGTACCCAAAGCAAGGCTAAGAGGAAATCATTCCATCGTAGACATGGCAACAGAGTGTGAAAATCTCGTCGTAAGCGCAGGATGAACTTTTGTGTGAATTTAGTGCAATGACACAAAATTACTAAATAATCTTTCTAATTCCATCTCTCTGAGAATGGAGTGTTCAGCTGCTCACAGAGGAGGAAAAGATAAGAATGCTGGGAGACATCGTATGAGCGGGACATCAGCAAGTTAGAAAGATAGTTCCAAAAGGAAACTCCTGGTACAAACTACAGTAATTAACAACATTCTTTTACCTCGGTACACTAATTATTCAGAAAAAAAAAGTTATAGGGATGTTACTGAAATGATTGCCACGTTACTTGATGCGTTTAGGGAGATAACTACTCATACTCCTGCTTGCGTATGCCGAAAAAGATTAAAAGTAACAAAAGAATGCCTCAAACCATTTTTTCCTGCAGCATTGAAGCTGATACCTCTTCATATTATTTTTTAAACTATTTTTCACCCTATTTCTTCATTCCAGCAGCTGAAGCTTTAGGGAAATTGCCAGAGAGAATGAGTGCTGCAGTATAATTACAAGAGCTGGCAGTGCTGGTAGTAACACAACTGGAACCCGTCCAAGCTGCAGTGCAACATCCCGGTTACCATCAGTGGGAAAGAGGCTCAGAGAATAGACCTCATTGTTTCTCGAAGACTAAAAATTTACAAAAATTACAGAAAACAAGTTCCAAACATCCTTCATTATTTAGCAGGGAAGCACGCAAGCCAGGCCACAGAGCAAAATTCCCCCCTCCACAATGGCAGCCCTGTTTGCACCCACAACGGCGGGAGCACGGGGCGTTCGTTACCCCCCAGGTCTGGCTGACTTGTGCGCACCAGACATTTAAAAGAAGTTATACTTCATAGGAAGCATTTTTAATTTAGGTATGGTATAATTCTAGCCAGCTAGAGAAGCTTAAACTTATGTGAGTAAATGTGACTGCTCCTAAAATTAGTGTTTCATGAGGCTTTTATGCTGCTCAGGCAAGAGATAGAAAATCGAGGTGACACCTTTAAGAGCAATCAAGAAACTGCCTGTACATAAACATACATATGTAAAAATGAAAGCAAAGTCTGAAGCCCATAGAAATTTTATACACACAGCTGTGAATTCAATATAAAAAGCAGCTCCACTCCGGTTTAAAAACAAAGCAGAGTTCCAGAGACTCTTATATCTGGTAGTTCAGAAATAAAGTTGCAATCCTATGATACTTTATTTTCCTTCCCCACTCCCCTTACTCTCTTTGGTGGGACTGTGCTGTAAGGATTTCTGGTATCTCTAAGGATGTCTTTTTAAAATTTTACCTTGAGTCTGCAAATGTGTTACACAAAGAAAAGAACACTTCACCACGAGGGAGGTTTTCAAAAGTACCCGACCAATTCCAGCCTGTTTCTGTTCAATCTGATTGAAGTTGAATTGACTGCCACGACTTCAATTTAGAGCAGAGCTAGATAAAATCAACGTGGATAAAAATGAGCACAAGCAGCAATTTTCAAAGCCAAAGCTGAGAGACTTTACTGAAAGCTCCTATTTGCTTCCTCTTTGACTTAACATGTTTTTTTTATTTCTCAGGGAGTTCGGTCAGAGCAGGGCAATGGTCTGTGCATCTCCATCTGCTGCGGGGATATCGCTTGTTTAGAGAACTGCTTAATCCAGCCTGGAAATTGAAAGGTAAATGTTAAATATTTAACAAGCTTAACTCATAACATTAGCCAAGATGGGTCATCTTATTTGTTGCTATAAGCCAATTTGTTTACGAGGCGAAAAGCATCAACTTTCTACCAGCTCTAGAATATTTCCCGGCCTTAAGCAGTCGCTAAACTCTCGCTAATGGATGCATGCTTGTCCTGATATTTCTCTGAGCCCTGTGTTAGCATTTGGCAAACATTTATTGCAAAAGGTTGTTTACTTTGGAGATTGGTTTGGAACACTTCCGTTTCCCTGCCTCATCACAAAGAGCATTGAAACGAATCGCTTCGAATATTAACCCCATGGGTTGGGTTTCTTTTTCTTTTTTTTTTTGTTAATTTTGCAATTTTCTCTTTTTCTCGGCACACATGAAAACATTTGAATTCAAGCAAGGGAGGACAAACCTGACGCGGCCATGGACCCCCTGGCCTACACTGACAGTTCACAAAAAGTGTATTTTTATTTATTCTAAAGGCTCTACATCAGATTGGCAGTACAAACCAGCTCAGTAAGCACCTAAATCAGTGAATAACGATGAGTGGAAAGCAAATCTTGGGGAATCCTGATCCTGGTGCTGATGGCGGCTGGGACGTCTCTGAGTGAGGGGAGCTCGTCCCTCCGGGTCCGCTCAGAGGGAAAACACCAGCACCTCCTTTTTGTTTTTCTCCCTCAGCTCAGGCTGGGTTTGCTCCTAGGACTCCAGTTTTTAAGGGAATGGGTTATATTTGGCCTTTTACCTGTGCTTTTGGGTCGGGTTTAGCCAGGCTGTGACAAACCTTTAGACCAAGCGATCGACTAGGCCGACTTCCCTTCCGCCTTCTTCCAAAATCGGGGAAAATTCCCTCCAAAAATAGCGACTTCCGCCCCCAAACCTACACACAGGTACTAGAGGAGGTCTCACAGTCGATGCTTAGTTACAGAAGATGCTTTATGAGCAATTTTTTACCTCAGGGAAATTCCCTCCCTACAAACCTGCTGTGGGCCGGGGCGCCGGTCTCTGAGGGGGAGCCCGCGCCCCGCCGCCCCCCCCCCCCCCCCCCCCCCGCCTCTGGGGGGCACTGTGCTCCTTCAGGGGAAAAAAAGAAAAGAGGAAGACAGACATTTTTTTAATTAGTGGGTTTCACAGCATTCGAAGTAGGTCACTACTTACTGGGGTTAAAAGCGGGGTCTGGGTGTAGCCATGCAGACAGGTCTGGATGCTTTATTTTTTTATGTCCACAAACATAAAAAACCCGGCTGGGTTGAGGGGGAAGGGGGTTGTCAGGGGTGCTGGAGGGCCACAGCACCGCTTGACTCCGGCACTGCTTCATTAGGGTGATTAATAACCCCGCTAATTAGTTTGTAATCATCCTTTTCCCGCCTTTCTGCCCCGGCTGCTTTCCCGCCCACTTGTCCCCGCCCTCCTCATGAATATTTAATCACGCCCGCTCACGTGTCCCCGCCATCTTCATGAATATTTAATTACGCCCCGCCCACTCCCTGGGGTTTAATTAAAGCCGCTGGTGTAATGAAGTGAAATCCAGGTGCTTTTGCAATCAATCTCGAGGCGCTCATTGCTGTGTTTGTTACAGAATGGGCAGCACCGGGGAGAAACCGCTGCCGGAATGGGCAGGAATGTGGCAAAGCTCACCCATCCCTCTCAGCGGCGCCAAGTGGGAACAGTTCTCTGCGTCTGTTGGGAAACAAAACGCTGGGA